TCCAAAGTTTATAAAGTTTTTTTGTGTGTTTAACCCTTCCAATACCAGAAATATTATTTTTTTAACATGCATAAAAAATGAATATAAACTCAAATTTGTAAACTAAAAGTTATTTTAAATTAAACAGTATTTAGTTTTAATATTGTAGTTTTCAGTTTTGGTTTGTTATAACATTTATAATATATAAAAAGGTTGCACGTTTTATTTTTTTGTATATTATATAAATTAAAAGTCTAACACAGTTGTGTCATACAAATCAGTTATAACATTAATTTTATTATAATGTAAAATAATGTATTTTAAGGTTCTTTCTTTAAAATGTGAAAAAAGTACTAATGTTATTCATATACATTTGGTTTGTTTTGTGTAAATGAAAACGATTTTTTTAAAACGATAGTTAAAAAGAAAAAATTTGTAAATATATCTCGTATACATATGATTCTCATCATAAGTTCATAAAGTGAGAACGCTAATAATCAGTGTGGTTGCACAATTAATATCATAATATTTAATTGTTTGTTACATATATTAAAATTCAATAAAATGTCAACTTTTTTACACGTTAGTTACAAAACATCAAAACATTTACAATAAACACTAAATTAAAATAATTACTTTTGAAATTTTCAAAGTATGACGTATACATTGTTTTTCAATGAATAACTTTTTATCAGAATATTATTTGATAAGTTTTTTTTTATTTTAAAACACTGTTTTTAGAAAGAATTATTGTGTATAGTTTATTGTACTATACACAAATTTTTGATATAAAAAGAAAAAAAAATAAACTTGAAAATAATAACATGAAAAGTTGTCAAGTAATCCTCACAGGAAAAATGAACCTTTTTTCAATAAAAATACGATTTTGGGTTAAAATTTACTATTATTTTGTTGTAAATTAAATTATATTTTACTATTTTTTCCTCGTATTCCTATAGTTATAAAAAGTTTAGAGCGTTTAATGAATGATTTCTTTCTAATATACACTCAAAATGAATAAGATATAAATATGTTTACATTTTTTAGAAATTGTTGGTACTGGAAGATTTAAAAAGCATCTTCTATAAATTATAATTCCAATAATTATAATTGTAAAAAATTGAAATTCCAAAATTTATAAGACGAATTATTAAACTATTTGTAATAGATTATTTTAATATATTTTAGTTAATATATTTTATAACAAAAATATTAATAGAAACTTAATCTTAAGTCATAATGTCTTAAATTTTGTCGCAAAAACAAAATCAACTTAATGCATTTTGCGATTAAATGCCAAATGAAAATATTACAGGCAACGCATGAGCAGTCAGAAAACTCGAAAATTAATGTAAAACAGCATAGCAAACGCTGTCATTATCAACAACAAAAAACATCAAAGTCGACTAGTTGTATGATTAAACTAATTTCCACACATCATTCACAAGAGCTCGTTTTATAGGACTCGACGTTTTCTTTTACAAATGTCATAATTTTTAGCATTATGGTACATAATGCTAAAAAAATAGAAATCTTATAAATAAATGCACTCAAACATCAATTATTGATAATTACTATCCATATAATAATGTCCAATATATGGGTACATAAATGGTAGTTGTTACATACAATAGTATCGGTAATATGGTAGTTGGTAAGTTGTATAATAAGAATTGTACATCAATGGTGAGTACTTTGAGTTAAATTTTTTCCGATTACTTTAAAGAACAAACGTTATCAAATCGACTAAAGCTGCAAAGTCGACCTTATTTTGTATTTTGAGGTCCAAAATCGAATGAAAACTTTCGGTAATATTGTCGGTCCGCTTTGATTTTCCAAACAACACCATATTTTTCTTTCAAATATTGGAGGTCGTATTTCTTCTATAAAAATGTGTTTGTCAAGTAAGTTTTAAACACCTTAATAGAATGAGTGGGAACCGTGTTAATTAATTCAAAATTATTGAATAGATAGTTGAGAAGATTAAGGTTGAGAAACAGTACAGGAAAAAGTGCACTATAAATTATCTGTTTTATAAATATTTTATAATCAATGTATTTATTATAGTAATGTTCAGACATTTTTAGTAAGCATTTCAAAGTCGCTAATAAAGATTTTGTGTTTATTAAAAATCACGAGCCCACGTTGTTTGGCCAAACTTTTAATCATAATAAATACTTTTGCATAATTCTTTTTCGACTTTCTAGGCATTTTTTATAAAAAATTAAACGCAAAGTTGTTGACGAATGAATAAGGTATATATAATTGACCATCTGAATTTTTAATTTTAAACGTTTCATCAACAAACACTAAGTCAGATACACTCAACAGGAACATTCAGGATACCAATCCAAAAATTGTGGCTTCACTAACTTTGAATGTCATTATAAAAGAACATTTAAACCGCACAATTGATCTATTGATTGAGGATCCCCAATCTCTTTT